AAAAAAAAGTACATCTGATAAAATTAAAGGTACACTGTAGGACGCAACTATTTCGCATCAAAATAGTGAAGAATCTAAAAAAAGAAAACAAAACAGAGAATGTTAAATTTGATTTTACGCCCTGATGTTAGGATGAAAACTTAACTTACAAAAGGAGTGAATTTCAATACGATTTGTTGTACAGTGGCTTAAATCAGATACTTCTAAAAAGTCGACATTTCTACAATCGCACCTACATGTCCAGATTTCTATTTACATAGTCACAGCTCAGCTTCTAGAAATTTAAAAACATCTGGATAATAATGATATCTCGTATACATCAGAATGAAAGAATGATAAGAGAAATTGATCAAAGGTTGAAAAAAGTAGTAAAAACCTTTTTTGAAATAATTTCCCAAAGAGCCCAATGAACTTACATTACTTCAAAAGAGACTCTATGGCATTTTCTCCAATTTTTCTACTACTTCATGTCTCTCCGCCATCTCAGCTTCCTTTGCCTCCTTCGATGGTCTAGCCCATTTATTTGGCCCACGCTGTGGTTTCTTGCCACCGCGACGAGCTGGTCGTCCATCGGTTGGTTTTTTCTCTATTTTCTTGCTACCATCCGAGGTTTTCTGCATGCTGCAATGGATAAATTTAGAACGGAAATTTTAGAGAAGATAGTCGAAGGTGCAATATCCAACCTCATACACTGCAACTCCGCTGGATATGGATCTCGCGATAACATTATGAAAATCACAGGGGTATCAATCGTAACTTTCAATCTAAAAAAAAGTATTTATGACGGTTACATCAGTAGGACCAGAAGAGTGATAAATGGACACTGGAGTTTTTTAGCTGGATTGAAAGATCGAGCAGAAGAAAGATTTTGAAGTAAAACACCAAATTTTTCCTAAAATCCTTCAAAAGTGAACAAGTGAGTAGTACAATTCTATAATATTCCATTCTGACTAGGGTGAGTGCGGCTGGTCCTTCCCAAACCACGCCCTTTGTGCTCCTTGCGTCTTTATGGGAAAATTTTCTGTAGTGATAGCTTTTAGCTATGCAAGGTAAACTCTTGCTCATGCTATTCGAACATTTAACGATAATTCCTACCTATTCATCCCTTCCACGATAGGATCCCAGTATGTGACACGTTTCGCAGTACTTAACGCATTCCACTGGTAAAGCTCTTCCTAGAAGCTAATTTTAACAAAGATTGTTATAGTTCTTTGCAGTCTTAAAAATCATTTCGCTAAACCAAGAAGAAAATTATTATCAACGCAATCGACCGTTTTGCATAGTGCGACGCTTGCGCAGAAGCTTCTTTTTTCAGATAGTATGCACATGTTTAGGCAAAGAAACGCTATAAGATATAGACTCATCAAAATCACTGCTTAGCCAAAAAAGAGTGCGGGAAGGCTCCGTCCAAATTCAGATTAATTAAAGTTTCAATGCACGTTAGCAAATCAAAGAAAAAACATATTGACTATGACTAAAGACGCCTCGCCCTTACCTGGATCTTCATACTTTATACCTTTGATTCTGGTCATGGTGCGTAGCGTGAAATTACATTAGCTATAAGAAAATCCACCTAACAATGACAGTTCAGTCGTACCTGCCGTTTTCGCTTGTACACTTCAACACAGGATACACATTTCTCGGCTGCATCCCCTACACCTCGAAAAATCACACGTCGTACCGTTTCATCCTACAGAGAGAGAAATTAGACTCCTTGTTTTTTCCAGACAGCGCTAATCCAACCCAACCTCAAACATTTTATTCACATAGTCAATGATGTGGCC